TAGACATCTGAGTACTATGTTGGGTTACTTCTGGTTCATTTACCATGTCTCTTGTTTGTGTCTCTGGCCAAAGTATTATTTATTAGAAGTACAACTCCCAAAGTAATTGTTAATCAATGACATTTAATGACTCAATTAGGACAGGGCTTGGGTAGGTTTTTTAAAATTTTTAATATTTGCACTATTTAAGGGTAACATCTCAGTACGAAAATTTGGAGAAATAGCAACACTTTCTGTGATTTCAATCAGTATTTACTAATGTTGAAAATTCTGAAGGAAACCCAGACTAGTCACAACAAAAGTTAACATAAAGGAATTTCAAAATCTGAGTGACTCTTGTCATCATAGTTGAATGTTTTTTGATCTGCTGTTATTATTTGAGGTGTTGAGTCCAAACAAATTTTGTGGCTTCTTGGTAGTCTTTAGAAATAGTCTTTGGACTATTAGGAAGAAGCAACAGGAGTTCCTCTTCATGTTTCTGATATATTTTTGGACTGTTTTATTCCTGATTCCAGACCATTCATTGAAGGAGCACTAACAAGATCAATTTGAGTGACATATTGTCTGAAGTAAGAACTGAGAATATGGCCTCAAATGTAATTGAACCATCTGGCCAATGCAATGTCATGAGAGTCATAGTGACGATGAAGTGGAACCATCTCTGAACTAGGGGTGACGCTAAAACATTTTACTACCAGTATGGCATAAGCACTGGCCAATCAGAATTTAAATGCTGAAGTAGGATCCCGGGGAACTCCCCATTCTCGCTGGATCATGAGAGGTCTTGAAGGACTCACCAGAGTGGCAGTGGGGTTGTACTGAGGGACCAGAGCCAGCAGTTATATACCAAATGATACCGATATATTTTAATATTTTAACAAGCTGCATGGCTCTCTGGCATATAGAAGTTGACTATCAGCCCTGTTCTTGGCTCAAGCTTCTCTTGGACAATGGTTCTCAAAATGTGATGTACCATCACCTAAAGGTTCCTGAGATCCTTTTAAAAGATCCACAGGCCTTCCATTTTTCAATGACATGTCTGTGTGAAGTTGGACTTTCTTCATGTGCTTAAACAAAACAGCATATTGCAATAGGTTGAATGCTGAAGCAGATATACAAATCTGGTCATCTTTTACTACGTTAAAGCGATTTGCGAAATTGTAAAACAGTGCCATTCTTCTCAAAAATAATTGCCTTTGCTTTGAAAAGTATAGTGTTTTCCATAAAAATACACTATTTTTGTTAACATGTGATGGGTTTATTGTTTTTTTTAATGAACTAATACATAATAATTTTTATGAGCATAAAGGAATACTGAGACCAAAGAGTTCGAAAACTGTTGCATTAATACAATGAAAAAAAAAATCAAAGAAAAAAACAAAACAAAAAGAAAAAGTAAAAATACAATAACAAAAAAGACAAAGACAAAAAACAAAACAAAGAAATAAAATGACAAGGACCACAGAGCACATATTTAAGCTTAAAAACTTCACTAATTTAAACTGATTTACATGTATAGTTTTCAGTATTAGTTTTTTGTAAAGAAATGAATTTCACCAAACTATGCTAAAAGAACTGTTATTAAAATGCCACCCAGAAGAAAACAGCTTTACACAATAAATTAAACTGTTAATTAGCCTATCAGTTGTCTGTTAAGTTACTTTTAGGATGCTTATAATTCACTGATTTTGTATTTTAAGCATTTCATCAAAAATCCTTTTCACACTCTCGTTTTTTACCTGATTTTCATGAAAGAGGAAAAGTAAACATTAGCCTCAATCCATGCTATTATCTCAAGTTTTGAAGCAGCAGAATATAAATTATCCTTCATTTTATTTAAGGCGATGATTGAAAAGTTTATCATTATTTTATACAGTTGATTCTTGAACAACACAGGGGTTAGGGTGCCGACCCTCATGTAGTCAAAAATTTGCATGTAACTTTTGAATCCCTCCAAATTTAACTAGATATCCATGGGGGATTAGTTCCAGGACCTCCTAAACATACCAAAATCCACACGTGCTTAAGTCTCTTATGAAATGCCATAGAACAATGCATACTATTGGTTCTCCTGCATCCACGAAATCCAATTGCGTATCAAAAAATACTGTTTTCCATCACTGGTTGGTCAAATCCTTGGATGGGAAATCCAGGGATATGAAGGATCAATTGTATATTTATTGAAAAAAATGCATATAAGTAGACTTGGTGCAGTTCAAACCCGTGTTGTTCAAGAGTCAACTGTATAATAAGAGAAATGAGCAAAAACAAATATCCAAAATGATCTTATAAAATTGGGATGTCAAAGGGTTACAAGGTAAATGGAAAAACAAAACTACCCATCAGAAATGGACTTTAAGGAAAGTTGCACGTCTCATTCTTAACACTGGATGAAAGAAGGGGACAAAAAATAAATTCCCCTCAGGATGTGACCCACCATCTTTGCTTTGATTGGGGTTTCGATTCAGGCAATCATTGTGATTATAGACCTTAAGGAGAAACTGTAGGTAGTAACCCCAGATGACTAAGAGAAGCAAACACAAATTATCTTGTAATAAAGCCATTGATTATATGAGGAGAAACAATTCCAGAACCGTTAAAATGTGGAAAAACAACAAAAAAAACCTGTGTATCTTAGAAACTATGAAATACAGTAATTAAAATTTACTGGTATATAACATTAATTAAATACTGCTTACATAGGATTAATTTATATTATGTCATATTTTATAAACATCTGATATACTTTAATTTATGCCAGCAAGTACAATGTAAGGGGAAATAAAAGTGAAAATATTTGTAAAGATGAACACACAAAGTTATCTAACATTCTTGGTGTGTCTACTCCAGTACCACAATAAAGTTGTAAAAATTAACATGTTCATCTCAAAACCAAAATATTTGATAAGCATATTTTTAGTGCATGCCATTTATTTTCCTAATTTCTTTCCTCTGAATGTGTTTATACATTTAAAATATATTTTTATTGGTCACAGATAAATTTATTAGGTTCCCTGATTTTCATAGTTCAACAGGAAAATCTATAGCTCTTAAAAAGCAACTTTTGAAAACAAAGATTAGAAATATACTTTTAAAAATACATTTAAATTATGAGGCATTCTGGGTCCTAAACTTGACTCCACAATGTTTCTATGCCACGAATATACACATTCTTTCTTTAACATGCTCTAAAACAAAAGCCGTAGATTCCGTAATAGTAGCAGGATGGCAGCTCTAACTGTACATTTATTTTTATTGGTTTGGTGACTAAGAAATGTAGACTCAGGTGAGATGTCTTTCTGCAATTGGCATCTATTTTGTGAATGTAATATTACAGATTTATAAGGAGACAAGAACTGAAGTTTCAATCATTAGTGTTAAGATACCTAATTCAGATTTGAGGCTTTTGGGTTATGGTCTGCGATTCAGAAATCTTTCTGAACAGCAGGCATTTGACTCATCTACATTTTTAAAGCTCAAATGAGTCTTTCTAGACTATGGATGCTTGGTTGGGGACCAACGTGATAATGAGTGCTATCAGAAATCAGCTGTCTTCTGGGGGCAGTGGACTACCTACTGACCACTAAACTGCATGCTAAACATACATGGGTCATTCCCCTCCCTCTTCCTTTTTTGAACATAACATAAACTGCCTTTCTACAGTTGAGAATTGTCTACGGCCATACAACCCTGAACATGCCTGATCTTGTCTGATCTCAGAAGCTAAGCAGGATCGGGCTTAGTACTTCGATGGTTAGTACTTCGATGGAAGACCACCTAGGAATACCAGATGCTGTAGGTGTTTAAAAAAAATAATAAAATAAAAATAAAGTTGAGAATGTTGAAACTTGTGCCTTTTTTTACTAGCTTCAGGCACCCAATGGTGATTCTCTTTTTCGCGTCATAAGGTAATGAGTTATAGATTATACAATACTGGAACATACTATACTTTTTAAGATGGGTTTTGAGACCTGCATGAAAATACTCAAAACAGACAAGTCTTAGAAACTGAAAAATGGCTAAAGGTTTTGCTGAGAAAAATTCCACCCTTCTTTTTTTCCTTACAACTGTTGTCTCAGTGCTGAAAGTATAAAATGCTGCATCAAGTCGGATGCCTCTTAAATGATAAATGGATGAAGTAGGTACTTTGAATAGAAATGCTAAATAAAGCTATTCTGTTCAAATTATGGCCTTGGTACAAAATGGCATTTATTCAAGTCATTCAAACAACTTCATTCCATTTCACAAAGAATACAAAGAACCTTTAGAAGCCCAGACACCTTTTCTTTGTCTTCTTACAATAAAAAATAATAAAAGGAAATCCATTCCAAGTGGCACTAGATCCATAAGCTTGCTTTTCAACCATTTTGTGCCAGGAGGGTAAATGGATAATTACCAGTTACATGCTTTTCTCCTCGTTGTGAAAAACAAAATCCTGTACATATCAATTTTTGTTTCTCCTTGACCAACAGGAAATGACATATTTTATATTAACATATACATTTATAAAACACATATCCACACATTAATGAACATATGGACATATGCATCATACACATCTATGTGTCAAGTAGAGCATCTTAATGGTAGAATGAAATAAATCTAAATTTTTGTTTGCTTTTTTCAAAACACAACATCGAACTCTCACTATTGATTTCACTGAAAATACTTTCTTAAGTAGTCATACCCTCTTTTTATGACTATTATATAATCACAGATTAATTCTTTGTGAGTGAGTCTTTCTGCGAGTGCCCATCAGGTTCAAGTTTGGTTAAAACAGAAGACTTAGCGTAGTGCAGAAGTCAGTTTTGAAGTCCTACACTCT